TTGACAAAGCAGGAAAGACTATCCAATGGAATAAAGACAGTGTCTTCAGCAAGTGGTGCTAGGAAAACTGGACAGCGACATGCAGAAAAATGAACCTGAACCACTTTCTTACACCATACACAAAAATAAACTCAAAATGGATGAAAGACCTAAATGTGAGACAGGAAACCACCAAAATCCTTGAGGAGAAAACAGGCAACAACCTCTTTGACTTAGGCCGTAGCAACTTCTTACTTGACACGTCTCCAGAAGCAAGGGAAATAGAAGCAACAACAAACTATTGGGACCTCATCATGATAAAAAGCTTCTGCATAGCAAAGGAAACAATCAACAAAACTTAAAGGCAACCGACAAAATGAGAGAAAATATTCACAAATGATATATTGGATAAAGTGGTTAACATCCAAAATCTATAAAGAACTTACCAAACTTAACACCCCAATAACAAATAATCCAGGGAAGAAATTGGCAGAAGACATGAATAGACACTTTTCCAAAGACATTCAGATGGCAAACAGACACATGAAAAGACCCTTCATCATCAGGGAAATACAAATCAAAACCACAATGAGATACCACTTCACACCTTTCAGAATGGCTCAAATTATCAACTCAGGAAACAACAGATGTTGGTGAGGATGCAGAGAAAGGGGAATCCTTTTGCACTGCTGGTGGGAATGCAAACTGGTACAGCCACTTTGGAAAACACTATGGAGGTTCCTCAAACAATTAAAAATAGAACTACTCTCTGACCTAGCAATGGCACTACTAGGAATTTATCCAAAGGATAAAAAAACAAAATGCTGATTCAAAGGGGCACACACACCCCAATGTTTACAGCAATGCTATCAACAGCCAAATTATGGAAAGAGCCCAAATGTCCATCGGTTGATGAATGGATAAGGAGATGTGGTATATACACAGATACAATGGAATACTACTTGACAATGGAAAAGAATGAAATCTTGCCATTTGCAACAATGTGGATGGAACTAGAGGGTATTATGCTAAACGAAAGAATTGCTGGAGGGGGGTGGGTGGAGGCATGGGTTAAATGGGTGATGAACATTAAGAAGTCACTTTTTGGGATGAGCACTGGGTGTCATATGTAAGTCACTGGATTCTATTCCTGAAGCCAAGACTACACTGTATGTTAACTAACTTGAATTTAAATAAAAAATAAAAATCAACAACAAAAGTAAAAGGCATATGTCCATTTCATCTTAGTTGTTGAATTTATTGGTATAAAGTTGTCCATTACATGCTCTTATTATCTTTAATGTCAACATGTTCTGTATTGATGTCTCACTTTTCATTCTTGATATTACTAACCTGTTTTCTCTTTTACTTGATCAGTTTTTTTTTGTTTCCTAAGCTATTATAACAAATAACCATAAACTGAGTGGCTTGAAAATAATAGAAATGTACTCTGTCACATTTTCCTTTGAAAATCGAGGAGCCTTTTAAAGGCTGTAGGAGAGGATTGCTCCTCACCTCTTACTAGTTTCTGGTGGCTAGCAATCTTTGGCTTCAGGATGCATTAGTCCAATCCCTGCCTTATCTTCACTTGGCCTTCTGTTTCTGTGTCTCTTTATGGTCTTCTTATAAGGACACTAAATCATTGGATTTAATATGATATAGTATGATGTCATAACTAAGTATATCTACAATAACCCTACTTCCAAATAAGGTCACATTCTAAAGTTCTGGATGGACATGGCTTTCGAGAGAATACTATTCAGCTCAGCATATTAATCCTGCTAGGTGTTTATCAATTTTAATCATTTCCAAAGTCTCACTTTTTTGTTCATTTTGTGTTAATTTTCATCAGTTGTGGATATGTTCTCTGTCAATATCTCTTCAAACATTTCTTCCATGCCATTCTCTTTTTCTTCACCTTGTGAAACTCAATTACAAGATGCAAGGCCATTTGATTTTGCCTTCAAAACTCAAATACTCTGTCCTTTTTATTTTCACTCCCTTTTCTCTTTGATTTTCAGTTTTTTATTTTCAATTGTCCTGTCTTCCAAGTTTATCAAATCATTTCCTATGTAGTTATATCATATTCAATTCTAGAATTTTCTTTTTGTTTCTCATAGGTTACATGTATTTGCTGAAATTCCCCATCTTTTCATGCATGTTTTCCACCCTTTTTACTACCTCCTTCAGCAATTTATCATAGTTAATCTACTTCTGATAACTACAATATCTGGGCAATCTCTGAGTTCACTTCTATTGACTTCTCTCTGAATCAAATCAAATGTCTCTGCTCCTTGAAGGTCTTATAATTTCTTGCTGCATGCTGGATATTTTCTACAAAAGAACAGTAGGTATGAAAATAAATAATAATTACCTCCACAAAAGGGTGTGCCTATTCTTTGTCAGGCTCTTAGACTGGGAAGCTGCATCAATCTAATCTGTGGTTGATGTGGAGATGAGCTGTGCTGATTTAGTTTAGTTTTACCACTTGCTTCAAATATTTTAAATGAAGATTTCCTTTCAGCAGGAATTGGGATCTGAGAATTGGTGAGAACTTAGTAGAACCTTTGTGTTTTTCAGCTAAATCGCCAGCTTCCAAACATGTGGAGTTTCTCTTTGCACTACATTCCAAAGGCATAAGTTAGAATTTGAGGTTTTCTCTTTGTATTCTACTCAGGCTTCCTGAGAAGGTGAACTCTCTCTCAAATTACCATGCCTTTTGGAGGATACAGTTGCTTACACTCACAATGCTTCAGAAAGATTTTTCCTGTTTTAGTTCTGTTCTATGTTCTTATCTTCCTAGTAAGTGAGTACATTCTTTCTAAAACTAGCAATCTGGCTGATTGAAAAGAAGCAAGACATAAATCACGGATTTATAAAGATAAGCCAATGTTTACTGAACTTCGTTTCACAGTGAGTCTATACAGGACAAGGCAGAAGAGATAAGAGAAGTTCTTTCTCTTTCATAAATCCACTGAGCACTTACAACATATGACACTATTCCGGCAAAATATAATCTCAGTAACTGGGATGGATAAAAATGGAGCTCCTAAATTATAGAAGATCTTGTTTTTCTAAAATCTAAAGTTAGAAGTGGACTAGTTCAGGTTCCTTTTACCATGTGATTCTGCCATCTCCTAAAATCTTATCATCAATAATATCCATTGAATGGAAAGAGAAAAAAAAAAGGGGACGGGCATTCCCCTTTTTCAGAATCTTAATATGAAAACAACAAATACATCCATTTCACTTACATTTCAGTGGCTAATATTCAGTCTCATGCAATTCTTAATTGAAAGGGAGGCTGGGAAATGCAGTTTTGCTGTGTATCCAGAACAAAAAAGAAATACATTCAGTTCATTGAATCTGTTAATTTTGTCAGCTTAAAAACCTTCTATCCTTAAAGCTAAATATTCAATACAGGAACATTGATGAATTGAAGAGGAATGCCTTATCTGTTTATACAAGCTTCTGTACTGACATTGGAGGCAAGTCATATTTTAAGGGAGGGTGTGGTTCTCTTCCATTACTTCAGTGTAAGTGAGGGATAAACACACATTCAAAAATCTATTTATAATCCCTTTTTGAATTAACATTTTCACCCTCTGTTATGTTTAGGAGTAAAAGTTACATAATGGAATTAAAATACTATTGAAGTAACTTTTTGTTTTATAAGAATTTAACGTGTTAGTGCATATTTCTAAACCTAATATTCTAGTACAGACCTGTAAGTCCAAGTTCTTCCTGTGTCATCCTCCCCACATGTAATTTATAAACTTTGATTCTATCAATCCCCCTCTCACCATATGTGGTCCTTCACAACTTGAATTTCAGCTTCCTTGATGTACAGGAGTCAGGACCCACCAGTGTTTCTCAGGTGTGGTTGCACTATGATTTTCAGAGGCATGAAAGAAATTTTTCATGGCTTGTATCCAAATATTTTTCTAGTGATGTCAAATTTCAATGCATCGGTATTTATTGAAGTATCTCCCAAGGTCACTACTGTGTGACCTATGTAAATAGTATTTTATTCCACTTTCTGTCTTATTAGCCCAGAAGTCTTCAGCAGTATTATTTACACAGTCTTATATCTAGAAAATTATTCCTAATTGAGATTTCTAATTCCACCAGATAACCATTTTCTTTTAAAGTGCTCCCTCTTATACGTTAAACTTGTCACCATCTTTTATTTTGGCCATGGGATCATTTCTTCTAAAATGATAAACCCTGTTAATCTTCTTCAAAGATTCTTTTGAGAACCAGTCACTGGGAACCTTCTGGATGATCATTTTCTTCTTTTGAATTTTCTCTGGGATCTGTAAACCATTCTTTATCTGCACAGATATGGATCCAAGTAGAAGCTATCCAATCACTTGCATGACAGAGAGAGAGAGAAAGTTGTTTTTGTGGATACAAATATCACAACTATTTTGTACCTAGTTTTCTCCCCCCTCCCCCCTTTGGATTGATTTTGTCCTTCCTACAAAGATCACACCTTGTTTAAAAGGGTTAGTATTTGCTCATTCAAGACTACTTTCACAAATAATTATAATTTCTATATAAATGAAAATCTAAGAAGCTCTTGACAGCAGTTTGTGGTAACTTCTATTAATCATATCTGCTATTACTCACAACCTTTCAGCCTTATGTATGAACACTAGCCCTTGTTTTGTGTAGATCACAACTGAAGTAAACTTACCTATAGCTACTTCTCTCATGCATGAAGTGATTAAAATCCCATTTCAGAGACTAAGCTTCATGAACCTCTTGCAAGGATGTGTGACAGACTAGTTGGCATAGTATTTGGCCTTATGGCAGGAATTAAATCAACACCTGCAGAATCACTTGTGCAAAGCCTAAGCAATGAAAGTGCTTACATGAATTCAGGTCTGCTCCCCTTAATAAGTGGATTCCAGAAGAAAAAAATTTTATAAAGACTGTAAGAAATGTAGTGATATGGTAAAACTATTACTTCAAAACCCAATTCTAAAGGAGCTGCTGAGCAATGCTGAGTATCCGGGGTCCTGGAAAATGTCTCTTATAAAAGTGCTCCAAACAAAACACGCTTTACGATGATTTAGAAAATATGAAAGGCTGGATTTTGTAGACTGCTTGGTACACTTCTGGTTGTTTCTCATAAGTAGGAAAAAAATCTACAATGTTGTAGTCCTTTGGTTTTATTTTCTGGGATTAAAAACAAGTAGGGGCATAAATGTTTTCCCATGCTCTTCTTGATGATATCCTTTAAAATAACTTATCAAACGGCTTTATTTATGTCTCTTGTTTATCAGTGTTCACCAAAGTCACTGTCAGCCTTGATTAACTGGTTGAAAATTTCAGAGCAGAGTAAGTAACTTTCATGAACATTTTCCCCAATCCCTGAGAATCATAATCATCACAGAAATGTTTTATCCCTTCATCATAAATCTCTGGAAAGTAGCCGTGTTCGTTCATTGTTAACAGGGCAAGGAGCAGTGTCATAGAGGGTTAATCCATGTAAATTGGCTTCCACTTGTAAAGAAATTTTCTGTAACAGAAAAGAAAATTATATATAGACGTTTGTTCCTTAAAGACATCTTCAAAGTCTTCAACATCACATCTTCAATATGCTCTGAAGAACATTTATGGGATTGGGGATGTAAATCAATTCTAATGAGTAACAAGAGTGGGACAGATGCTATACTGACAACGGTATCAACTGTAGTACCAACAGAGTTGGGAAAACCAAGCTTCTCTACTCAGAAGTTCTTCATTTTTCTTTGGTTTCTAAAAGGAATCAGTAGGCGGAGGAATCAGGAAACGTAGGCGGAGTTGATGAAAATGCTGTGAAAAAGTTTCTGCAAATTTACTTGTTCTACAGCCCTATTTTCAAGGTTGAATACCTTACTAACAATACACTACTTCTCCAAACACAGAAACAATTTCCCTGAGTCGCTCCTCTTCTGGCATTGCTGCTTATGAAGTTAATTTTCAAAAAGGCTGGAGACTTGCCTATAGAAACTTCTCTTATTCCACCTGCAGGAAGTTTGACTGCATAAATCTAACGCTGTGTTTTCTTACCTGAAAATCACGGATGTAAGTCAAGAAAAAACCAAAGAAGGAGAATGACAAAGACCATTCTGCTGCAGTGGTGATCATGTGAAGCACATAACCCTTGAGTGACAATGGAAAAAAAAGAACAGTTCTGTGAAATTTCATCCAAATAATCTATAATTTCTCTCAAATAAAAAACCCATAAAATTTATAATCCAATCTGTCTTATGAAAATTAAAGGGCATCAGGTAAATACTAAGGACATTTTAATACACTATAGACTTTTGTTAAAAATGTGTCCATTTGAGTTTAACTATAACAAACATGCTATATTAATTAAAGATGTTAATAAAAGGGGAAGGTATAGAATACATTGATAACACAGAACCCTCTGTACTATTTTCACAATTCTTCTGTAAATATAAACTATCTAAATTCGGATTTGTTTAAAAACTTAATTCCATTTATCTTTTATAAATAATTCCATATCTGAACTTTCTGTGGAAAAAAACCCAATCCTTAATTTATTGAACCTAGCTCGAGAATTAAAGACAGACATTAGAAAGTTCCTCCTAAATGATTTACCTACTGTAAATTTCATCCAGAGCAAATAAAATTTCCATCTGAGAACTAAGACAGGAGAACTTCTACTCTATGATCAGGAAGTTACTGCCTTTCCCACAACCCTAAGATTCATTAAATGTCACTAAAAATGTTTAGGTAAAAAATGCTCATGGTAAACGTGGTGTCATTTTTAGAGCATTAAATAATATATGGATTATAGCTAAGAGAATCCAGGGGCCCCTAGGTGGCTCAACTGGTTGAGGATCCAACTCTTGAGTTTGGCTTAAGTCATGATCCTAGGGTCATGAGATCAAGCCCTAGGTCAGGGTCTGCACTGAGCATTGAGACTGCTTGAGATTCTCTTTCTCCCTCCTTCTGTCCCTCTCCTCTGCTCATATATCTCTCTCTAAAATAAAAAAATATATACAATAAAAAAAATAACTGAGAATGGGGCACCTGGGTGGCTCAATCAGTTAAGCATCCAGCTTTAGCTCAGGTCATGATCTCACGGTCCGTGAGTTCGAGCCCCACGTTGAGCTCTGCGCTGGCAGCTCGGAGCCTGGAGCCTAGTTGGATTCTGTGTCTCCCTCTCTCTCTGCTCCTCTCCCACTTATGCTCTGTCTCTGTCTCTCTCTCAAAAGTAAATAAACATTAAAAAATATTTTAAAAAAATAACTGAAAGAATCTAATAAATTACTCCATTCTTTCATTCTTATAAACATGTCCTATCCAGGGCTAATTCTTTAAAAATAACTTGAAATGCCACTGAGAGGTTTGTGAAAACAGATAAACCTATTTTATCATCTATTTAGTATTATGTCCCTCCACTTTTTTTCTCAGGATCAAAGATGCTATCTCCATTCAGATATCCAGTATACTGGAACCCAAATGTAGAGCCCATAATAATAAACTTCCAGATAATAATTCAGAAAACACGAATTCTAATAATAAAAGATCTCAGTTGGGTATGTTGTACACTACATCCATATTTAGGAAAGACAATTTCTGAGAAAACTCTTTGCCATCATGATTCTCTTCATGTCTTGAAAATGTTCACTGGTCAGATGTGAGAGAATAACACAGGTAATTCTACACAAACTCAATCATACATAGTAAATAATCCTAATTTAACAGAATTGACTATTCTACTGAAAAAGTTTCATTTTTGGTGATGACACAAAAGAATACATCAAAACCAACCAAAATAGTCATCTTTAATATAAAACTAAGTTTTGTAGATTCCAAGCTCTTACTTTGTCCTCGGGGTTCCAATGGAGTTTCTGGTCTACATCTTTGCCATAATTGCCACTGTGCAACAATGATGAGGAAGTCAGCACTATAAAAAAAAGTAAGTCAAGGAGAATCTCGGACAAGACCTGTGCATTTAAATTAGATTCAAAATAAAAATAACTTTAAAGGTCCCAAAGGATTACTCATACATTTGTTTCCAAGGTCCAAACCCATTTTCTTAAAGACTAGATGTCACATAGCAGTAGTGAAAATTAAAATGTGCCTGGAGGATTACTATGAAATGGTCTGCAGAGTCAACTCCCCTTTGCTCAGTAAATCAGTACTATCCTCCATAATTGTTCTCAAGGACATAAACTCATCCTTCAGATGTCTGAAGTGAGTATGATCAGGCTAAACATCAGCTTTCTTCCTAGTTCAATTACTGAGGTCCCATGTAAAATTTGAATTTCACATTTCAAGTCTTTTAATTTACTAACCCAAGAATCTCACCCACAAAAGACCTGCTTACAATATGCCAACAGTGTTCACTTAAATTCTGTTATTCAATTCCAAGTGGAGCCACGTTTTACAGCAAAGGATACTGCTAAATGCACTTACTCCACACCAGATAACCAGCAATAGTCTAATCCAGAAGACTTGTTTGCCATGAATTTTGGGCTGCATTTGGTAGGAAAGGATGGTCTGAACCAACATATATAACGAGCCCATACCAAAGGTGAGCACAGCTCCACATATGTGTACAGGAAAAAAGTCTGTTTTCTAAGAGGTGGAAAGAAGAAATAAGTAAATAAGGTAAACTCAAAACACATTACCAACACAATATTTAAAAGCACAAGCCAGCAATTTCAATAGAACATTCACTGAGTGCAAAAATACTGAGAATTCTACAAAATTACTTCTTGAAGTAATTCTCTCTTAGACTACTCAGCATAAGCCAGAGGACTACGGTAAACCAAATTATTCATATGCCACTACTGAAAATATGACAGTAGTTGTTCATTTACTCATTGAATACCATGTTTCTTTGGGTGCCTCTTGTGTGTCAAGCACTGTTCTAAGTACTCAGATATATCAGTGAACAAAACAGGCAAGCATCTGGCCCTCAGAGTTTATATTCAAGTGAAGAAGCAAAAACAATAAATAATAAACTTTAGAAGCAAGTAAAATTCATAGTATGTTAGATGGTGATAAGGATTATAGAAAAAGAGTAATGCACGACAAAGGGAGATTAGCAGGTTGGAAAGCTGGAGGGAGGGAGTTTCAACTTAAACCCAATTTAAATCCAAAAGCAATTTAAAGTCTCAAAAAATTTAAACACCCCACCTTGGCTCTAGTTGATTGGTTTTGACAAAGTATACAAGGGATTATCATAAATTATAATTTTTCCCCCTTTACCTCACTCTTACCGGTATCCATTTACATTTTACTTTTTACTACATATACCCTCTGCTTAAGAGTGACAAGAGTGGCTCTCCAAAAATCCTACAAACATCTTCAGTTGAGCCCCTCTAATTCTCGAAGCTGGCACTGTCTGTATTTCATGTGGTTGGGAAGGCACTGCACAGCATCTGGCACGGAGGGCATCACGGGGTAGCGAGAGGGGAGAGGTAGGGCTTGGGCCCCTCCTTTCAGTCAACTGTGCTAATTCACAAATACAGAACCCAACTTTCTTAGTTGAAGCTACAGGAAGTTTCCAGTATAAAGAAGTAAAAGATAACGTTTTTGGCAACGCCATTGGTTTTCTTTTGGTGAGAAAAGGCTACTTTGATCCAGTTTGCGGTGTTATAACTGGCAATGAGTTATGAGTACTGAGAAGGGAAAAAAATGCATTGTCATTTCCACTTTGGGTAACAGAAAAAAAACCCTTCGGCACCTGTAAAACAATACAAAAAATAATAAAAATAAAACAAAATGGTACTATCTTCTTATCTTCATATGAGAATTTATCTGTATGTATGGATAAAGGCTGGAAAAATATAGACAAAAATGAAATTAACTATTTTAGGGCTATGAGAAGGAATATGAGTGAACTTTTCCCCTTAAAAATATTCTCATATCGTGATGAAGCTAGAGACAGAACCTGATTGATGACCATCTGGGACGAGTACACAGTCCCATCAATAAAACCCTGTGACTTAAAAAGTAAAAATAAAAAATGGAGAACATTACTATATTTTTATAGTTATAATAAAGGCATATAAAACTGATTTTAACTGGCAATGCTTCAGCTTGTACATTAAATTTTGTCATATTTTTGAGACCAGAGAAACAGCAAAAGATCTTGAAATAGGTCAGACAGCATTCTTCCTATGGAATGCTAGAGCCTCTGGGACTGGTTCTACACAAATGTGAGTTTTGGCTTGGATTAGGCTACTTTTCACAGAAAACTTCTGTAATGATAAAGCTATGTGTAGCTTAGAATTCATAGGTAAATATTTTGCATACGGCTTTTGAAAATGAAATAAACCATCCTTTGAGGTGTAGATAGTTCTATATTTGTTCACAGGGAAGAAGAGCAAAGGAAGAGAACAGAAGAAATTCTATTCATATTTATTATAACCATTGTTCTTTGGGCATATTTTATGTAATGCTTTTGCACAAATGCATTGAAACTTGATCGAAAGTCACAGAAACTCACACTTATGGAAAAGAGGGTATTTATACCTTTTATACTCATTTTACTAGAAAGGGCAATGATAGACCTATTTCTTGCATAAGCTAGATTAAAGTGTTCTGTACCTGGAAAAGAAAGTTATGTACAGAGACAGAAGTTAACTTATAGAACACTGATAGTAATACAAATAATCCACATCTGCATAAATGCAAACTGTGTCCTTTTGAATGCTATTATTACCCTGTGAATAATGGCCAGTTTTGCATCATAAATTTATTTTACATTCCTTATCTGACAATAAATGTATGGTACTTTGACTTCTCTTTTGAGCTGATTTGTAATTCCTAGTATTTCTCTCATGAATTAATAAGTTAAATAAAGTCTTTGACACATTTATCCTCTTTAAAAATATATCCTTTATCAAAGACGAAAACTTAGCTTTTGACAAAGACAAGAAAAATTACAGAGATTATGTGTGGTCAGGAGCCAATGTCTGATAAAGAAGTTATAAATTACATATTGATTATATCTGTAAACTTTACCTAAAAGCAGTTAATGAAACTTAGGAACTAATATTCTGCTTACTTATCCTTATCCTCTCTCCCAGGTATCCTTGAGGATAAATTTTACAGGAAGAGAGAATGCCATGTGACAACAGAGGCATATATTATAGAGTTATGCCATGAGCCACGCATACCAAGGGTTACTGGTTTCCACCAGAAACTAAGAAAGAGGCATGGAATAGCCTGTGTCCAAAAGGGAACCATCCCTACTAACATCTTGGTTTCAGACTTCTGGCTTCCTAAACTTTGAGAGAATAAATTTCTGTTATCTTAAGCCACTTGATGTATGGTATTTTATTATGGCAGCCTTATGAAATTAACATAGATTTCTGCTTACTTGACCCTTCCAAGTTTCCTTGAGGGTAAATTTCCTAGGAGGGGAAAAATTCCTCTAAGTAGGCATTGAGGACACATGTGTTTGTTTTGCTGATTATCATACACAGTTGTTTTAAAAGAAATTAAATTTGTATCTTTTTAGTCAGAGTTTTCAAATCTCATTAAATCTCTTTAAATATGGACGGCCACCCACACTCAGATATCACCTCACGCCAGTCAGAGTGGCCAAAATGAAGAAATCAGGAGACTATAGATGCTGCAGAGGATGTGGAGAAACAGGAACCCTTTTGTACTGTTGGTGGGAATGCAAACTGGTGCAGCTGCTCTGGAAAACAGTGTGGAGGTTCCTCAGAAAATTAAAAATAGACCTACCCTATGACCCAGCAGTAGCACTGCTAGGAATTTACCTAAGGGATACAGGAGTGCTGATGCATAGGGGCACTTGTACCCCGATGTTTATAGCAGCACTCTCAACAACAGCCAAATTATGGAAAGAGCCTAAATGTCCATCAACTGATGAATGGATAAAGAAATTGTGGTTTATATACCCAATGGAGTACTACATGCCAATGAGAAAGAATGAAATATGGCCCTTTGTAGCAATGTGGATGGAACTGGAGAGTGTTATGCTAAGTGAAATAAGCCATACAGAGAAAGATACCATATGGTTTCACTCTTATGTGGATCCTGAGAAACTTAACAGAAACCCATGGGGGAGGGGAAGAAAAAAAGAAAAAAAAGAGGTTAGAGTGGGAGAGAGCCAAAGCATAAGAGACTCTTAAAAAC